GTGGTCCACCACTGAGAAAATTCCACAGTCGATAAATAATTTGATTCAAATACATATGGGTAAAGATGCATCGAGGTTCTTGGCAAAAACTTGGCAAGCTCCCGGCCGATGGTCGATTCAGTCAACTTGGATTTGGGGAGAGTATTTAAAGGAAAAAAGGGTAAAGATTGGCTCAGACCAAACTGTCTTGAAAAAAGTTGAGGGTAGTAAGTAATAAACTTGAAATCTTTGGATTGGAAGCCCGATATTAGTACATCTTGAGTTAAATAGCTACTCCATATATCGACCAACTCTAATTGCAACCCAGGAGTTGAGGCAGGAAATTTTGACTTAAACCAAATCGGCCCCCTAAGTTGGTCACTTAGTCGTCCAAGATTTACAGTAAAAGGAGCTAAGGTTGAATCGAAAGTGAATCTAGTTAACAAAAAGTGAAGGTATCTACAATAAGCAGCCTCATCAGGCTTATGGCGAGGATGACGAGAGGATAATCGGGCCCCTTCTATATTTACACTTGGGGGAGTGGTAGAAGTTGGGGGAAGGACGCTCTCAAAAATCGAAGTTAACCATAACTGTATAAACCAAACGGGGCCAGAAAAATTCCCTGATGCCTTAGGAGTACTCAAAATTTCGACAGCTTCGTAGAAAGCAGTATACACATGCGCTAGCAAAAATTTGGCTAAACATAGGCTAGGTTGGCCTAGGTGAAGGAGATATGCAAGGTTGAACAGATGAGGGGAAATTTGGATCGATCGGGGCAAAAAACATGGGTGCACGGCCAATACACCAAAAATGCCACGTGCTCTTCATCGGTAACAACTATCGAAGGATCATCGATAAAATGCTTCTCAAGGAAATGACCATAGGCCTTCGATTCCCAATCAATTTTAGACTTCAGAGAATTATCCGAATGACATGCACCCTGAAAGTATCTCTCTCCTATAGGTTTTAATCCAGTGATGGCTGCGACGTCGAAAAGAGTAGGTGAGAGAGGGCCGCAAGGTAATTCCAGGGCATGTATTTCTTTATTCCATAAATGTATGGCAGTCAAAAACATAGCCATGTCTAAATAAGATAAGTCACATTGAGACAGGTGCAAAAAATCGAAAATCCCCACATTTCTCCAATGGTTCCCAAACTTAGCTTTGACCCGATCAAACCATCTCATGAACAAAGGTTTTTTGGAAGGAGGGCCTGTCCGATATACCCTAGAGACAAGATTCAGAAAATCGATTCTAACTTCAGGCTGGTGCACAAGAGCTGGGCTATTTGAGAGGGTGAGGGGAGAAATAGTTCCACTACCAGAAAGAACAGGACCCCCAAAAGCAAAACTAACACCTTCAACAGTGTAAGGAACGAGTACCTGCGTTTCAGCAATTTTTTGGGAAGCTTCTTCCATCAGAGGCAGTGGAGCGAACTTCTGGTTGTTAATCTCCAGCAGGTTAGAAGGCAATGAGGAAAGGGGTGGAACGGAGAAGTCAGAAGATTTTGACGAGGTGGCCATCTTAATGAGCTTAGGGAAACAGAAAGAGAAGGGTTAACGAATGAGGTAGCAAGGAGGAAGACAACAGCTCAAGGAAGACGATGAAGGTGCAAGCAGAGGGTAAAAATTCGTGTAAAAGACCAAAGTAAAAACCAAGGGAGAGGTTAAGGAGAAAATCGCCTAGGGAGTTGGAACGACAGACGCGAAAGGTAATAAATGTAGCGTACTGTAAAAGCAACAGACTGATATGATGGCGACGTAAAACGGAAAGGAAAACCTAAAACCCTTTTAACCCTAGAACCCCAGAAAACCTAAACCCTAAGTTTCGTAGGCTTCCAAACATTAAGGCGGGAATATTGAAAGAATATAAACTGAAATCATTCATATTCTTTCAAGGGGGCATTTTGTTATTGTGGAATCGAGAAATATGATCGATTGATAAATCGGTAAGATAGACAAAAGAAATCATTTGATGTCCAATTAGAAGTACGTAGTACATAACATCGAGAGGCACAATCGAAAATTGGGTAAATGATAACCAAATGCTTGTTGTCGAATAAAAAACTAAGAAACTAGAATCATATGATGTTAAGGTTAAACCCAAAGCAATGCAAAGTGTTCGATATCATCGAATACTAAGGGAACATGGACATCGAAACTCTGGACAAACCACAAAGAGAAGAATAAGTCAACCGCACGTATAGAAAGCAGTTATGGGACCATGGAAGGAATCGAGGATCGTGAGAACGTGGGAAACTGTAGAAAAAGAAACCGTCATGCACGAAAGAACGTGGTAGTAGTCTGATTAACTGTTCTTGAAGGGCTTGAAGGAGGCCCTATAAATAGAGAAAAGAAGGAAGGAACAAGGGGGCAGAAATTGGCAGAGAACAGAATCAGTAGTGAAAAGTCTACCGGAGAAACGACGAACACCATGAAACTTCTGGCAATCTGAATTTCCTTGCTCACCGAGTACATTTACCGTTTTCTGTATTTTCCTTGATAATTTATGCTTCAGCAATTTTATGTTTCTGTACTCTCGATTCTTAGTCATTTCAATTCAATGAAAGTTTAAGTTTCTGTATTTTCGATTTCCTGTCAGTTACTTTTCTTGCAATTTCGATTTATTGTCATTTACATTTCTTGCACATTTCGATTTCCTGCCATTTATATTTGCACTATTTTCGATTCCTCGTCATTTACAATTAATGCAAATTTGGGGTTTTCGCACTTTATATTTTCTTGCAATTTAATGTTCTGTTTCTCGATTCGATACTTTACTGCTTTCGGTACTTTAAATACGAAATACCAAAAACAGCTTTCTTGATATCTTGTGATTTTCGATCCTCATACACGTTTTCGATTGAAAGTCAGACTGCTAGCCTAAGTAAAAAGAACTTACGTGGGAGGATTTCGATTATGACCATAACACTGTTTAGAATCAAAATCGATCGAAATTCAACCAGAAACAGTAAGAATAACTTAAAAGATATCGTTTGCTTAGACGTTGTATAGTTTGGGTGATGACCATATTAATGCATCTTTAATTAATTAAATGTTTTGTCTTTTTAAAATAAATAAAAAAATAGTTGTTTAATAGGTAATGTAGTTGTTGAGCGTGGGTCACAGGATTAGGGTTGAACAAGAAAATGACGGTGGTTCAGAATTTTTATTGAATCATGGAGATTGAGAGGCATATTGAATGATGGCAGGAGAGAATGGAAAAAGGTAAAAAACTTGCAGAAAAGAATGATGGATGTGACTCAAATCAAACCAATACTCACACAGTTTTCTTGCTCCGAGAGGAAGGAAAATGACAATATAACGAGGTAGTTGCTAATGCTTTGTGATTAGTTTATGTTTATGCAACCAGTGAACGATGCTGTATCGTGATGTGTCTGTGGGAAAGTGCCCACAAAATATGTCATGATGTTAACTGTTTGTCTTTCTTTCAAGGTGATTTACCGAAGAAAATAATATTAATTAATGAAACATGAGTCTAATTTTGTATTGATATCATTATGAATTTAAATTTTAAAATATTAAGTTACAATATTAAAATATTAAGTTATAATTTTTTTTTTATATGTTGATCAATTTTTTTATTTTTTATCCAATATAAAACTTAAAATATCCTAATAAATAACTAACCATTTATTTAGTGAATGAAAATGATACTCTGCATGCATGCGTGCGCATTCCCCAATCTCATCTTATTTCATTATCTCAACAACTGCTTCCTTCAGTTCTTTCAGTTTCACAAATCCCTCTTCTATTTTTTTCACAATATTTATTCTGTATATTATTTATTATTAACTATTATTAGTAAAATCCATGATTGTTAACGTTAAATGATAAAGTTTCTTTCCGTTAAAATGTGGATGTAACAATTTTTTTTATATATAAAATATTATTCTCTGAGTTCAATTCCTCTGAAGTTCAAATCAATTTAAAGTTGGATAAATAATATGGAGTAGTACCGTTACAACCACTAAGAGTTGTACTTCCACCCTTATCACCCACTACTATAACAATTACATTAATAATGGCAAAATTTGTTTAAATGAATTTCTTTATGAGTATTTTTAGAATAAAAAAACTTGTATGAACTATATATACTTTAAACATGATTTTAATTTGTGATTTTTTTATTTTTCTTTTCTAAAAATATTCATAAAATAATTTATTCAAATAAAGTTTAATATTACTACTTTTGCACGACCACAAATAGTAGTATTATTTATCGTTTTGATGTTGATACTAGTAGAATTAGTTTCTGCTATTATCACCAGTTACAACATCGATACAAACATTACTGAGTGTAAGTAGGAAGAATTGTAATGTTACCACCTTTACTAATAAAATTGGTTATGCCACCCAATCAATAACACTATCAACACTATTATATCAATATTGACATCATCACCATTAGCAATATTATTTATGTTATCGATTTTAAGGATATTAAATGCTAATATTTAATATTAAAATGGTCACTGATATAATTTTAAACGCAATAGTAGTTAATAATTATCATAAGATGTTGGAGATAAAATTTATTTTTAATTTTTTAAGAAATAAAAACAAGATTAAAAATTGTTTAAGTTATTTTTTTCACAATTTTAACGTCTATTATGAAATTTAAAAATTTGGTAAGAAATTAAAATTTTACCCTTTGAGGAAAGGCATGTCCTAAAAAACATGGCAGTCAATTAATGAGCAAATTGGTTCAGAAATTGTTGACCAGCTCAAACCTAATTCTCTTAAAAGTCCATTCGCAAGCAAAGTCACGCCAACACAAGAGCAGAGCTAGCCACGTTCTCCACCACACCATCAATCTTCTCATTACGCAAGTCAAACCTCCATTCGCTGAGAAAGGTCACAAACTTCACCCAACTTCCAAATAAATTGTTTTTCCATTTTTTCTTCTCTTTTGCTCTCTCCATTTCCAGTTCCAATTTCAAACACCTCAGTTTAAGTTTCGTATATACCGTGATTCTTCAGAAAGAGGATTTCTATAGCCATGGCACAGAAGAGATTCATCATTGAGGTCGAGAAAGCGAAGGAAGCGAGCGAAGGAAGGCCATCGAGGGGCCCTGTGTACCGTAGCCTCTTCGCTAAGGATGGATTCCCTGCTCCTATCGAAGGTCTCGATTGCTGCTGGGACGTTTTCCGGTGAGTTCGTCACTTCAATCTCACAACTCTTAGTTTTCTTCTTTGAATTTCGATGCAAATGTCAGATCAACAAGCTCCACTTATTTTCGAGGATATGTGATCTGGAACTGCTGTATGAGACTTAACTGGAAAGCTTTTGCTGCTCGAAGCAATGATCGTTGCACTTTAAGTTCGCTATCAGATGATATATTTCCTCTAGTTACGTACAAATCGGATGCGTTTATTTTTATTGCTCGAATTAGTATACCTACTTCTCATGCATAGCTCTCTGATCTGTATCGGAGTTAGGCAGACTTTCGATGGGATCTATTCGGAGCAGTGAAAGTATTAGTTTCGGTTTCTCCACTTTTTTTTTTTTTAACAATGTTTTGGACTTTCGTGTGCACGAAGAGAACTTGAACATACGGTTTAGCTTGCTGGATTTAGTAAGCTATATTTGGAACAATGAAGGTAATACTTTCGTGCACGAGAGCTTGTTTCGTCCGTCTCGTGTTTTTTTTTTTCTCCAATACTGTAATAAATGTTGTTGAACTTGTCATGTGCACGAAGACGACTTGAACGCCCGGTTTAATTTTACTTGATTTGGGACATGGTCCACGACATGTGTTGATGATCTCTGTTACGTTCAACCGAACTTATGGCTTGTATTGATAAAATATTAATCCATTCAGTTCTGAGTGTGTTGCACTTTTACAGAATGTCTGTTGAGAAATATCCAACAAGTCCAATGCTTGGTCGCCGGGAGATTGTGGACGGGAAGGTTGTTTATCGATTAAAGTCTCATGTTCTGGAAATTTTCTTGACATTGCTTGACTTATTTTGGCTTTTAACTGACTTGAATATACATTTCTTTTTTGTGACTCTATAGCCAGGCAAGTACAAGTGGCTAACATACAAAGAAGTACATGACCTGGTGATTAAAGTTGGGAATTCCATCCGTAGCTGTGGTTATGGAGAAGTAAGTCAGCTATGTCTTTCTTACCAAAAAATGAAGCATGTTTCCCAGTTGTTTCAGTAGTATTACTACGTTATTCCAAATTCCTGGATTCACAGTACATGTTGTGTTGTTCACTTGTTCATTATTTACAAACAAGACTGATGTGTAATTAACATGGTTTCATTCCTTAACAAATTTCAAATGCCGCATGTTCTTGATAATAATATTGTCAAATTTTCTAGTTAACTCTTAAGTGTTTCCAATCCTAGGTAAAGAAAACTACTTAACCCGCTCTATCAAAGAGTAAACTCGAATGAACTCTTTAAAATCTCAAGGAAACTAGTTTATAATTAGTATAGTCAACGAGTTTAAAATTAATGTAGTTTTAGGGCTCAACCTATTTGAGGAGTTTAGTTCCTTTTTTAAACGTTTTCACTTTATGAACTTGTGTTTTTATGAATTTATTTGTGATTTTAATCATTATGTAAGTTCAATCTTATTTACCACTAATGTAATTTCATACTTTGTTATGTGCTTTGCTACTTTTCTTTATCATTAAGTTGAAATATTGAATTATTGTTGTGTTAAAGCATTATGTTATGTTTATGTGTCATCAATAGATTTTTACATATTATTTTTTATATTAGGTAATTCTTTCCAGTTTACAAAAACTTTACTAGTTTACCAAGATTCTCAAGTTTAACAACCTTGTTTTATAATGTTGTTATTTGCGTGATCATGAATTGAGATATAGATCTTATATTGACTAGTTATTAAATTACCAAAATAGTGTATTGATTGGAGGGCTACCAATCATCTTATGAGTTAGCTTTTGGGATTGAGTTAAGTTCAAAACCCAATCGTTGTTAAAGCTTATCCTGAAAATTGATGTTGAGTCTATCAGTTCACCCGCTATTTGATTGTTAACAAACCACTCATAGATGTTCACTCTTGTAAACCTTATGCTCAAGATATTCAATCTTCAATTTTATGGGTGTTCATTTTGCTGGAGATAGTATTTTGACTAGTGATATAGGTAAGGGTAACTTGCTAGTTTTTGAGATTTATTTAGGTTGAAACCCAAATTTTCAGATATATCTCAGTGTTAAATAGGAAAAATGGGATTCATGAGTTCAAGTTCTTAGCTTATGAGAAATTTTCTTTTGCACCCACCCAAGTTTGCATATTGGATACTTGTTTATACGTTTTTTATATTTTATTTTTGCATTTGATAACAATATTTATACTTTCGAGCATTTTCTTCTTTTGAGCTTAATTCACATATTACTGGTTTGCAGGGTGTAAAATGTGGTATTTATGGTGCCAATTCTGCAGAATGGATTATGAGCATGGAGGTAAATTTTATTTCGAATTCCCTTCCCCTCTGTTCTTTTTGAGTTTTTTCCATCTTAATTTTGCTGCTCCCTGGTCAGTAGTACTCTGTATGTAGGAGTTTTCTGCAGTATTCATATGTTGATGTTGCTTGTATTTTATGCCGAGTATTTATTATTATTTCTATGTCTACTTTGTTGTTTCTTTGGTAGTGGATTTTTTACTCCTTATTGAGGAGAATAAGGTTTTCTGGATTGAAGCTTCATTTCCTTATATTGAATATCTACTCTCTGCAGAGAGTTTCACTTCTTTAATTATTTCTCTGTACTTATGTTGTGCCAGTGATGGGTATCTGCTCACCTAACAATAATGTTGCTGAACTAGCTTCTTTCACTCATTGGTTTTTTACATATTAGCAAATAATTGCAGGCCTGCAACGCTCATGGACTTTATTGTGTTCCTTTATATGATACCTTGGGTATGTTCTCTGCTTCATTATCATGTTTCCAAATCTATTGTACGAAGAGTTGCTATGATACTATCAAGAAAAGAATATCTCAAAAGCTTTGATGTTGCGTGAAAAGTTGCAACATTGGTGGACATGTGACATTTTTTTGTAACTTTTACCAACAAATAACAATCTCAATAATTTACGAACTCTCAAAAAACTTATGTACAATATTACATCTTTTCAAACATCTATCAAAAACTTTTGTGTCTATTTTGTATTTTTAATCATATTTTGCAATTTTTTCTCAACAAATAAGTTAACTAATTTGTGCCCTTTTGATACTCTCACCTAATTTATGAATGAAGTCCTTTTGAAAAATAATGTAAGTAAATACCTTAAACTGAAACCTGTCATTTACCTAAATTATGATAACTTTTTTAACAGAAATGATATTTTTTTTTTCTTAAATTTACTGTATACAGTAAATTTAAATGGTGCATAAACAATATCCCATTTTACAGCTATTTGTTTTTCGAATTCTAAACCTGCAATTATCATTTGCTTTGACACTCATTCACATGACATAGGTGCTGGAGCTGTAGAGTTTATTATATGTCATGCAGAGGTCTCAATCGCATTTGCAGAAGAAAAGAAGATACCGGAGGTTCTCCTTTTGAAATGCTTTGTTTTATAACAGTTTAATTGTTAAGAAAGATTAGAGAGTTGTGTACAATCTTATGTTAAATAGTCAGTCTGTCCCACCCATCTACTTGTTTTTGAAACTTTTCAGTTATTGAAGACATTTCCAAATGCAACAAAGTATCTCAAGAGTAAGTTTTGTTGATTCTCTGTTTTCTTCTAAAATCCTTACGCTTTAGAAAGAATCATTCATTTTTATATCTTTGTTACAGCAATTGTAAGCTTTGGAAAGGTTACCCCTGAACAAAAGCAAGAAGTTGAGAAGTTTGGGTTGGCAATATATTCGTGGGATGAATTTTTACAAGTGGTGGGTTATTTGTTTCACATACTATCACTCTTTTTCTCCACAAGTTGTAAAATAGAAATGAAAGCACTCCTTCTACAATTACTTGTTATTATTTGTAGCTACTACACACAAAAAATAATTGTATCACAAGCTTGATACACCTGCAGTTGGTAGAATAATGGCATATATAGAAAACAAGTTAATGAATATAACTTTTTGTGCAATGGAAATGAAAAAATAAGGATGATATCTTGTAAATGAAAACTTGGGATTATTTGTCGGGGCCACTTTATATAGTTACATATACATCCAAATTTCTTTTTCTAGTTAATTTCAGTCATGCCTGTAGGAAGTAATCATTTCCTTCACCTCTTTGGTATTTTGTGGCTTGCATTCCTATTTCAATTTTTAAAATCTGCCACAGGGTCAAAATCAGAGTTATGATCTTCCTATAAAGAGAAGAAGTGACATCTGTACAATAATGTATACTAGCGGAACTACTGGTGACCCCAAGGGAGTGTTGATATCAAATGAGAGTATTATTACTTTACTAGCTGGGGTTAAGCGACTGTTGGACAGTGTCAATGAACAAGTATGTCGTTTTCTTTCACAGCTCCTGCACTATACTTGGAAATACATGAATATAAAATGAATTCCCAGTATACAATTTCATTTTACGTTTCAGGTTACTGAATGCTGCTAGCTATCCTTTCTTTAACTCTCATAGTCTCCCCTTCTTTTTCCTTCTTTGCAGTTGACTGAGAAGGATGTATACATATCATACCTTCCTCTTGCACATATCTTTGATAGGGTCATTGAGGAAACATTCATATGGCATGGTGCTTCAATAGGTTTCTGGCGTGGGGTGAGTACATGTAGTATATCTGTCATTACAGAATGGAGATTTACTATGATAATTGAACTTTGGATTTGGAATATGACCATCATTTACACAACGGCTGTAGGATGTCAAATTGTTAATTGAAGATATTGGGGAACTAAAACCAACTATTTTCTGTGCTGTTCCTCGGGTGCTTGATAGAGTGTACTCAGGTAAACCCTGGAAAGTTCTTGTGGTTGTTGACAGTTTGATGATCTTGCCATCATCATATCGTGTTGCTGGTTAAATTTTTATTTCAGTTGACAAAGCTACTCTACAAATTATTTCTTGATTATTGGAGTAGCATTTTTCTTGCTTTTCTTTTCCATTTTTCTTCCCTGTTAACCCCATCTTGTACACAGGTTTGACACAAAAGATTTCTTCTGGGGGCTTCTTGAAGAAGACATTATTCAACGTTGCTTATTCACAGTAAGTGCTGTTTTTATAAATAATTACTTGAATCTGGGTGAGGTCACGATGAACTCGGAAAGAAACTGTCATGGATTCTCCCTAAAGATATTAGGGAGCTAAGATTGTTCTCATGTGATTCACTTACAAATTCATATTAGATTAATATTATTTTTTTACTATGTTGTGCCTAAATCTCTGGTGGTCTCTCAGTGGGCACTTCAATATTTTATTTAAATTATTTTAGATGATTAGCTCTGCAGTATTCAAATCATGCAAATTCTGAAATTTGATTGCAGTAAGCTGAATAACATGAAGAAAGGGCTTACACATGGAGAGGCATCCCCTATTTGTGATAAATTTGTATTTGAGAAGGTAGTAAAATTTAAATATTTGAACTCCCCAGCCACCGACTATTGCATGATTTTTTTTTATTTTTTATTTTTGCTTATCATGGTTTTGCAACTTGATCAGGTAAAGCAGGGTTTAGGGGGTAGAGTTCGTCTTATTCTGTCTGGAGCAGCACCTTTATCTGCACACGTGGAAGCTTATTTAAGGGTGGTGACTTGTGCTCATGTCCTACAAGGATATGGTATGCTCTTTTTTTAATATGAAAAATCAAAAACATGTTATTGATTCGATTTCCATGTGATTGTGACACAAACATCATCTGCTCTTAGTTGAAATGATTTTTTTGTCAAAGAAAATAGTAGTATTTTTTTTATCCGGCGATTGCATGTCTTATAATATTTTAAAGGAGTGTTTGTTACAGTTCAAAAGAAAACTAGACAGAATGGAGACAGTTTTAATATTGTTCGCTTCTTGTAACACTTAAAATTTGAGAAAACAGTTTTTATTTTATAGCGTAGTGACACGAGTTCAAAAGAAAACCCGAAATTGGTTCAAAACTAACTACATATTTTTAAACCAAGAATTTCTTATTTTTCGTCTTTATCATTTAGTTCATTTGATATTTAACATGTAAATGTTGATAGATTTACTTAGAATGAATTTAAATTATGTAAAATTTCTATACCACATTCAATTTAAAACATTTCTAGCTATTTTAAATTTGTTAAATTGCTATTGAAGTTGGATTTTTAAATGCGTCAATAACATGTTTTGCTATTATAGTTTATTTACTTGGTGCTTCTGTTAAAATGAGAATAGGCCTGACTGAGACCTGTGCGGGAACCTTTGTCTCATTACCAAATGAAATGGAAATGCTTGGAACAGTGGGCCCACCAGTACCAAATGTTGATGTTTGCCTGGAATCTGTTCCTGAAATGGGATATGATGCCCTGGCGAGCACACCAAGAGGAGAAATTTGTGTAAAGGGTAAAACCTTGTTTTCAGGGTACTACAAACGTGAAGACCTCACGAAAGAGGTTCTGATCGATGAATGGTTCCATACAGGTTATTTTTTTATGTTTATAAAAACTGAGGTTTATATAGATACTTTCTCATTTTAGCTACTAGGTTACAATTTTTCTTTTATTCACAAATGATACGCTTCACAGGGGATATTGGAGAGTGGCAACCTAATGGAAGCATGAAAATTATTGATAGGAAGAAGAATATATTTAAACTTTCGCAAGGAGAATATGTTGCTGTCGAAAACCTGGAGAACATTTATGGTCAAGTTTCATGTATTGAATCTGTAAGTCCTGAGAACCCTATTCCTTCCAATGGTTTTTCTGTCCTAACTTGTACCGAATTTATTGCTGATATCCAGTTCAAAACGTTCTGTTCCATGAAGATATAAACCTTTTTCTCCTCTATTTCAGATATGGGTTTATGGAAACAGTTTTGAGTCCTTCCTTGTTGCTGTTGTTAACCCCAGTAAGCAAGCACTTGAACATTGGGCACAAGAAAATGGTATATCTATGGACTTCAATTCTCTATGTGAAGATGCTAGAGCAAAAAGTTACATAATTGAAGAGCTTTCAAAGATTGGAAAGGCAAATAAGGTAAATTTTTTTAGTGAAATTTTCTGATCATTATTCGAATTTGTTATATTTGGAGTATACGTGTATGATAAAATTCACATACGATATGCTTTTCAAATAGAAGGAAATAACTATTTTTGGTTAGTAATAATATTTAACATGGAATATTTCTTGCACTGGTTTAAATGATTGTGGGATGGTGAATATGTATTTGGCAGTTGAAAGGTTTCGAGTTTATAAGAGGAGTTCATCTTGACCCAATTCCATTTGACATGGAGCGTGACCTTATCACTCCAACATATAAGAAGAAGAGGCCACAGTTGCTTAAATTTTATCAGGTACAAGTTGTCAAATTCTCAGGATTTCATTTCACTTAATATGGAATAGAATGGGTCTTAAAGTCGAATAGCTTTCACAAATTGAAGGTTAACCCCCTCTTCCTTTACTCATATAACCGAACAACAAATAAAAAAGTTTGAAAAATCTCAGTCAAATCCTATTTTGTTGATTGTATGGGCTACATATTAGTCAGTGTGATCAAAGCAATATGGTCTTGTGGTAGTCTATTTTTTTTTTTTTTACCTGGCTATAATACTGTGTCGGGATGGATGTTACTTCAGCCTATCCAATATTATACTTAAATGTCGTTGCTTAAAAATGGGAAAGTCGAGGTCCGCTAAAGCTATGACACATGCATGTTCTAGAAGTCGAGATATTCTCGTCTAACTTGCAATTTATGTCCACACTCACACAATGCTTCTGCGCAGATGTGAGATCACACATAGCACACTGTAGCTCAATCCTATGTAATTTTGAATGTCTTCTGCATCATGTGAGATAAGACATGGCAAACTGTAGCTCAATCCTATGTAATTTTGAATGTCTTCTGCATCTGTTTAAATAAACACCCAATCGCGTAGTGGATTCATGCATGCTCGGTTATCTGTGTAGTCCTCCTGTAGAAATGAATAGTAACACAATTCACGTCAAAACATTAAACCTATTGAAGGCTTGTCATAAATTTAATTTTGGGACAGGAATGGAATGGGGGAGGGTGATAAAAGTACTGACTGGGGCATTTTTATTTTGTGAGCAGAGTGTCATTGACAACATGTACAAGAGTGCAAAGTAAGCAACGCCTGAGACATGCTCTCGGAGTTAATACCATGGAGACGATTTATTTTCTGCATATTATTCTCTTCGTTCGATTGTTTCCCTTTGGTGACTGTATATACCATGAATATACGGATACCATAATAGTATAAATGTCTTTGTATTAATTTCTTGTCATATCATATTATCTATTGTACCCATACATCATCTCTCTTGTTTCTTTCTTTCTCTAGACAGGATTTGCATTAGGTGTCCATGAATCCCCTATACATACATTATTCAATCACTAACATATGGCTGATAATACGCCATGCACAACTTTTGTTCAACTGCAGCCATGAAATATTTCGTTTGAAATATATTATTATAAAATATAGTTTTATTATATTATATATTATTTAACACAATAATTAATTAAATAACGTCCTTCAATATAATTTAAAAAATAAATATTTTATAATTATAATATACCTATGATTATATATAAAGAAAGAAAAATAAAAGTGTTATAATCTAAAGAAAAAATAATAAAATATAAAAAGAGAAAATAAAATTAAAAAAGATGTGGATATACAGTCATTTTAACACCTCTATTTTCACTGGTAATTAATAATATTTATTAGATTAATATTAATAAATTTTACGTATTAATATACATATATAAATTATATATATTTAAATGTGATTATTAAACTAATTTAAATAAAATATATTATTTTAATATAATAATAAATATGTTTTTAATATGAAAATAGACAAGTTATTTATTATATTTATAACATGATTATTTAAGAATAGTTTTATCTATGGTTTAAGTATTATAATAAAATTAAAGTCGTGGTGATGATAAATTGAATGATGATATTAGAGAATTAAATATGATTAAATAAATTTTATTTTATACATTTTTAAAATAAAATAATATATTTAAAATATATGAATATTTTAAATGAGAAAAATATTTATTAAATTTTATTGAAATAGTTTAAGAATATTTAAATAATAATAAAAATTATTATTGTATAAAACAGTTTATATATATATATATATATATATATATATATATATATATATATTAATAATTTTTATTTAATCTCAAATTTGATATAACACATCTTACGAATTATCTCATTCTCGTAAGCTATAAATACCAAAATATATTTAGATATAATCTCTAATTTTGTTCTACTAATGAATGTTATTATTAACAAGGATTAGTGTTGACGTGAATATATGTAGAGGCTTTATATAATTGAATAATTTCTTAAATATTCAACAACTAAGTACTGAATTTTATACTTTATTCTTTATATTAAATATAATTTAAATATAAAATAATTTTTTACTTTCCTACTGTTAGTAGCAAATCGAGAAACACAATCGGAATCGAAGGGAAAAGAAATATGACTCGATAAGATAAACAAATATTCATTCGATGTCCAAATTGAAACACGTAGCATATAACATCGAGAAGCACAATCGAGAAATGAACGGCTGTTGCCAAATAAAGACTAAGTCATAGTGTGGAATCGAGAAGTCTGATCGAGAAATGAATCGAAAGGGAACTTTCCTGATGTCCGATTATAAAGAACGTGACACATAAAATCGAAAGGTAAAATTGGAAGAGTAGGCGTAATAGTCGAAAAGCTTAACATGGAGTTAAGGTTAAAATAAATCGATACCAGGTATGCAAAGTTCTCGATTAAATCAAAGGGAAGGCTCGTTTTCGTAGATATCATAACCTTGGCTAAACCTTGAAAGAAAGTAGTCAAAACGCACATACTGAAAGCAGTTTCTAAGTGATGGAAAAGTTGAAGATCGTGAGAACATGGGAAAACTGTAAAAAGAAACTGTCATACGCACGAAGAACGTGGTAGCAGTGCGTTAACTGCTCTCGGAAGGCTTGAAGGATGCCCTATAAATAGAGCAAAGGAGGAAGGAACAAGGGAGCAGAAATTGGCAGAGAACAGAATCAGTAGTGAAAAGTCTACCGGAGAAACGACGAACACCATGAAGCTTCTGGCAATCTGGATTTCCCTGCTCACGGAGTACATTTATCGCTTTCTTTATTTTCCTTGGTAATTTACTTTCGAGCCATTCCAATTCAGCAATTTCATATTCTTGTATATTTCATTCAATGTCATTTCGATTTCCTGTTATTTACTTTCTGTGCAATTTTAATGGGTTTTAGTCATTTACATTTCTCGCACATTTCGAGTTCCTGTTATTTACTTTCTGTGCAATTTTAATGGGTTTTAGTCATTTACATTTCTCGCACATTTCGAGTTCCTGTTATTTACTTTCTGTGCAATTTTAATGGGTTTTAGTCATTTACATTTCTCGCACATTTCGAGTTCCTGTTATTTACTTTCTGTGCAATTTTAATGGGTTTTAGCAATTTACATTTTCCGCACATTTCGATTTCCTGTTATTTACTTTCTGTGCAATTTTAATGGGTTTTAGCAATTTACATTTTCCGCCCATTTCGATTTCCTGTCCTTTATTTATCTCGCAAACTTAATTTCTTGCAAATTCGGGGTTTTCGCACTTTCTTGCAATTTAATATTCTCTTTGCTCGATTCGATACTTTACTGTTTTGTTTGAGTCGAGCGTTTTAGACATAAAATACCAAAAACCACATTTTCGATATCCTGTAGTTTTCAATTCTCATACGCGTTTTCGATTGAAAATCAAATTGCTAGCCTAAGTAAAAAGAACTTACGTGGTAGAATTTTGATTAGGACCAAAACACCCTTAGAATCGAAATCGATCGAAATTCCACCAGAAACAAATCATCGATTGGTATAACAAAGATAAAGTGTTATCGATAAATGGAAAGTACTTAAAGACATATAAACCTCGAATAAGAGAAATAAGCATTGACATTTAAATGAAAGGAGTCATGTTTACAAAGATACATATTCAGATCGTAAACTATCAAAATCCATTAACAATTGCGCCCAAGACGCTGAAATCGAACTCTCCTCGATGACCAACTCATGTTGACGTTCCATGCTCGGCCAAGGGATAACGCCACTTCCTTCGCAGAAGAATTAATCTTATTTAACTCCGAAGTGAGAAACTCTTCCTGCGATTTCAATTGTTGAAGCCTCTTCTCTAAATCTTCGATTTCACCTCGATCGAAGGCAACGCTGTCAAGATCTCCCCTCGATTGAGTTTTTGAGTCTTCAATAAAGCGATTTCTCGGCTCGAAAGCGACGAACTTCGGACAACTCGGTCGTAATCGATTGCCTTTTCTTCTTTGCGAGCATAGGCCTGGTTGAACAGCTTCGTGGCCGCCGCGACCTCCGCATCGAAGCCTTTTGGAAAGGCCTCTTCGGGGAAGGTCTCTATTGATGCGAGAATCTCTTTAAAAAGTTTCTTCTTTTGGCTGATTCTACTAAGACCTCCGGAGGCGAGGAATAGAAGAAAGTTACGAAGCGTTGTTTGAGCTGGTACACTCCTTCGATCGAAATCATTGGTGGTTGAGAAGACTGGCTTGAGGAAGTGGCATCCCTTGATACTAAAATATCGAGAATCGAGAAAGGGTCTTCCGCGATGGCAGCTCGATACTCCGGCACATTGGTAGAAATAGGCCCGGTCAACATGGGCAACGTTGGGGAGATGAGTTCGACCCCAGGCATTAAGAATGGGTGAGAACCCATTTGTTCGGTGGTAGTGGGAGATGGGGAGTCCGGGATTTGGACCGTGGGAATAATTACTCGAAAAAGAAAACAAGTTGAAAAATGAGTTAAAGTTATATAAAGGATAAAATAAAGAATCGAAATGACATAAGAAGAAAGAAAATACCAGGTGGAGGAAGAGCAAGCGGCATCGAAGCACGAGGAGGACTCTGTACAGCCTCAGATTGCTGTAAATCAAAAAAGAGAGTTAGGAAAAAGAGAAAAATAGGCAAGTCAAAAGAGGTATACACAAGTAAAATAGAATTATACCTCAGGAATTGGTGTTGAAGGCTGAAGCTGAGTTTCGACAGTAGTCGATACAGTCACCGATGGATTATCCTAGAAAATTTATCGAAAATATAAGTCATGATACAAGTCTTAACAAAATCTAAGACATGAAAGGTAGAGGAAAAGAAAACTCACATGATCTGGAATGGGTGACGGGCGTTGTTTGACCCGTAGAAGGAACGGTGTTCGAATCCATCGACAATGGATCTCGTCGTGGATGGTTGGATCGATCGGGGACTCTTCGATTTTTTCCGTAGGGTAGAAATCGAAAAGAGGTTTGAGGCTCCATAGGGAAACATGTTATAAACGAGAAGAATGGATGAGACAAAGAGATCGAAAAGAACCTTCGATTTTTCGAAGATGAAGTAGTGGTGGCCGATTGTTTTCGTTTCCTGGTGAAGGCCGGAGAGTCCGATTCATCCGGGGACTCCCGGCTTGCGTCCTTTCCTTCCTCTTGTGCCTTCTCGAAGGCAACCACCTTAGTAGATTTTGAAACCGCCAAAGAATGAAGATAGTCGGTTTCCAAAACACGGAATCGAAAACCGAGAGAAAACAATAAAACCTCACCAAAGGTGATGGAGTCAAAATTTTGACTCGATCAATATGTACTAGCCAAGGAGGCGGGAGAGCTTCAGGGAGGTTAAGGTAAGGAAAGTAAAACAATTTCGATACAGAAATGTCTTTGTTTTTGGGTTTTGGGCGACGGGTTTCTCTAAGGGTTCTCAATTCTCGAACCCATTTGGGATGAGTTAAAGGTTTTGCGAGTCCAAAAGGTGCTCGTAGGAAAAGTGGGAAGGTGAGTAGGACAATACATTTCGAAAGGGGTTTTTCCTAAGGGATTAATTATTTTGTGGTTCGATCTATTGGTATCTCGTTTTTCGGGATAAAGAAATGACAAGCATCATAAAAGGTCGATTCTAGTTTTAGTGGAGTATAACATATTTGATAAAAATTCTCGAATCGAGATATTTGGAGACAAGTGGAAGTGTGTACCTTTCTTCCCTTTTGACTTGTCCTGCAACACAAGAGAAGGATGAGCGATCGGTCT